GTGATAGAGCAGACCCAGTTAGTGGAGGCTGGGAGGTAGTAGCACGGGCATCGATGACGATACGGGTCGCTCATTAGGTATGGTTCTCGATGGCACGAAGGAAGGGATTGGCTTGATAAGGCCAAGAAGGCTGAGCGGCGGCCTCGAGTGATACCGTGATGGGTCTCCATGGCTGGTCACCGTGATCGACCTCAGATACGCGTTCGGGTACTGGATGTCGATGGGTTGCCGATGGAAGAGATGCACGAGTGAGATGAGGTCGCGAAAAATTAGATGATTTCCTTCCGTAGGTTTTTTATGTTCGCGCTGGTCCGTCGATTCCCGGCCGAGAAGTGTTTGAAGGTTGCTAGCAGGTTGGCAACTTTCAGGGACAAAGCATCGGCGTCTGTGAGCTCAATCACATTTCTTCTGAGGAGCAGGCATTTCTTTTCAGAGCTACAACAAGCTGATGATCGATATGGCTGAGCTCTTCGGTTCAATCTACGGCCCAGAACTTTGTGCTTTATTCGATCGGTAATGCTTGTATATTTTCCTATCACTGCTTCCCCACAGATGCTATAATACGATATCAGTTCCTTACATGCTGGACTACATAAGGAAGTATGGGCAATTCTCGAAGGAGTATATTGCGAGGGAGGTATCAGATGGTCTGCACTCGAGCAATTGTGGTGTATGCTACTGCTGGACGGATAGTGAGCTGCATGAGAAAACGCGGGGTCAAATCTCGAGTCCGGGATTTCACGCTGCGGACTAGATCGTTGTCGTAGTCGTGGTCGAGGGATCTGAGTGCCTGGCATCAACGTTTCGGAATGTTCTATACAGCGTTGAGCGGAGCTCTTTGAGAGGATCGAAATCGCGTCGGCAAATGTCACGAATTCTCGTGCGTGCATGATTCATGGGGCGCCCTTGTAGGGAATAGAGTGGTTCTATATCACCTTGTATGTGGGTAGGTCACGGAGTCGATGAACCCCCCTGTATTCGACTTCGTACGGTATCAACATAGAGGAGGGCTGCGGTAGGGCTCCTTGACTGATCGTAGCCATAGTGACCCTTCCCAGGCCTCTCCCACCCGTAGTGAGTAAGCCTTATGAGCTCAATACATATGCACGTCTATTACCCCCCTCCAGTGTGAAGCGGTAGGCTGTTACTCAACAAGGAGTGCCGTAGATTGGATATTAGGTGGATATATCAGCATCTCCTCCATCATGGGCGTATCATGCTGCATCGTAAGTCGCCTAAGGCAGCGGACATGGACCCAGTTCTAATGGAAAGAGATGCGGCGGCACGTGAGATTGCTCGACATGCGGACTAGGTTGCGATGCTTTCCTCATAGATAGCAGCGAACGCTTGGCAAGATCGATGAGCAGTCGACCAGCTGAAATGCTGTTGAACCAGGTTGGGTCATAGTGTATGGAGGCTTAGTCCAGATCGATCGTCTCAGACACGTAGGCGAGCAGAACATGGGCTGGAGTTGCCGAGGGAGAACGAGGTGGAGGAGGACGGCGAGGTGGTTAATTGGAACATAGCGTCTACGTCAAATCAGGGCAGCGGGAACGGCAGCGCTGAGGAGGGTGGCCAAGGTCAGTTGGATTTCCAAGTTTGGCTTGAGATCTGTCTTTAACAGAATGGTCGATCGAGTCGGAGGAGGAGCATCAGGAGGCGGTCGCTATGGGAGGCAAGCCGAAAGACACTTCAACCCTAATGCAGTTCACGAGAGTTCATGAGTTCAAGTCACGTCTAGCTGAGGATGACAATTCAGCTTTAGTGCCTGTCGAGGAGCCAGCTGATGAAGGGGTGAGAATGGCTCAAATCCGAGTGTGTGTTTGCCTCTCATCCAATCGTCAGATAATCCCTGTACCTGAGATGGACCAAGGGAACTCATACTCCGAGGAGAGCCGCGAGGAGCGTTTCTGGTTGCGGAAGATCGTCTCCTTCTTCCGGCATAATCGACGGTATGTTGTCGAAGATCTTTAATGGCTGAGTACACCTGTTCTTCAGATGCTACCGATATATGCCGAGTAGAGGATGGACCCAGGTGGTCGACCCTCGGGGTCCGAGGAGGTGGGGGAGGGCTGCTTGTTGATGTTTGAATCATCATCATAGTTACGGTTTACCTCGGAAGCATCGATCCCACATAGTGCAGAGGTTGAGTTGAAGAAGGTTGGTAAGATACGAACATGGCATCGTCTCAAAGCGAGCCTTCGTGGTGTTGCACGAACAAGACTCGGCTAATCATGCGTTTCGATGA